TTTTGTAGCTGTTACTACTTCTATCTCCTGTGCTCTGTTTCCCTTGGAGCTCTGCCATGGCTGCCTGCTCAGCCGGGCTGCTCTGCTCACACATCTGCGTGTTTTCCTGGCTGTTAGGAAACAGAGGATGCTGTGTGTGTGCTGTGACTCACTCGGCACACAGGATGCAGCCTCTTGATCACCTGCTCTGCCAGTCCTACCTTGCTGCACTTCTCCATTGTCATAGCACTTTTTGGGAAGTTTGGTGCAGGATGGTTGTGAACTGATGTGATTGTGGACCCCTGGTTGTACAGCAGTGTACATCCTCCAAATATGATTCCCAGTTCAGCAAACAAGTTCTAAACTAAGTTGCCATCATGCTGAGGTGCACTGACATAACAGGAACCAGGTCTGAGTTTGAGGTTTCTTGTGGAGGACAGGATGGGGAGGATCTGAGTCAGCTGCTCTCAGAGAAGTGCTCTGGTGTGTATCAGACTCCTCAGTGAAGCTGGAATTATCAGCACTGGTCTGGGAATAAGGAAGAAGCTGGTAACTGAAGCTGTGTGTCTCAGGAGCTGGGAAAGGAAGCAGGGACATGGACAGAAACCCAAGTGATGCCTGGAAAGAAAAGCTGTGCTCTCTCTCCTGAAAAGACCTTTTATCATGGAAACAAAACTTGATTCTTTCTGCTGAAGGAGTCTGGTATTTCACTTAAAACTAGGTTTTGTAGTTACATCGTTAATTATTTGTGCAGATAAAGACCTACTTGTTGCTCTTTTTTAGCTTTGTCTCTTGAGTAAATTTATATTTATGTATATGTGAACTTTTAAAAATATTTTTTAATTCCTATCCACTAAAATATTTTGAAAACTGTTACAGCACCAGTTTTTACAGCAGGCTGGAACATCAGGAGAAAGCAAAAAAACTTCTCTCCTTGCCTGGGGTAACACTTGACAGCAGTCATAATATTGTGTAAATGCTAATTCCTTATATATTTCCTGTCATCCCTAGCATATATGTAGATTGTACTGTTTTGGAGTAAAATGATGAAGCAAAGACCATTCCTGTACAGGCATCCATGCAGTGGAAATGTCTCCTGCAGTGACAGGACTGTTGTGTGTTGGCCCAGCCTGTGCAGAGATGAACACCGGGCATTGAGTGTGAGGAGATGGCTGAGGCTGATGCTATTGGGTATTTTAGAGCAAGATAAGTTAACATATGCTGCCAGTTTTGCATGGGTTGGGTTTTGTGAGCACTTAAGGACTATAAGGTCATGTTCTACTACTGTAGTTTTAAGGTGGTAAGTACAGACTAAAAGGGATAGTCTGCATTCTAGTTATTGTAGAGAAATACAGGTAATTGATAGTTTCTTACCTATTGTCAGGTAAAAGCTAATAGGACTGTAATATTGGGATTCAGTACAAACTTACTGTCAAATGCCTAGAAGGAATATGAGAATGAACCTTTATGATCCTGCCACTCTCAGAGCCTTCCTTTTCTAGTCAGTGTTTGTTTGGGTAAACCCCATTACATCCCTGCCCCCTCACTTCCCAGGACATTCAAACCATTGGATAAGGAGTAGTCATTGAGGAATCTGTATAAAACTGGAACTGAAAAAGATGCAGAATTTTGCTCTGACAGAAACAGTAAAGAAGGCCAGTCAAAAACAGTAAAAGATGATACAGTCACTGTGTGATGGTACTGTCAGGACAGACACTTGGAGGGAGAAACATGTGTAAGGTGTAGGAGGATAGGACTTGTACAGGAACAAGTGGACACAGAATATGTACACCTCAGTTTCTTAAAGGTGGAGGCTGTAGAATGTGCTTTCAGGGTGCCTGGCAGACTGCTTTTAATGTGGGCTGGTGTGTGTGTTAGGGCACGGTTTCTGAGTCCAGTGACTGGGCCCAGGTCACTTTTTACCCTTTTACTCCTGGCTGTCCATGGGTGCTGCAAGTTAAGTCTGGTTTTATCTATGTATAAGGATCAAAATTCCTTGTCATGGATCTCAAATGGTGCATTAACACATATTGTAATGCTTTGGAAAGAAAGGAGTTTGGGCAGCAGGGGAGAGGGGGATTTCTGTCCCTCTACTCCACTCTGGTGAGACCCCATCTGCAGAGCTGTCTCCAGCCCTGGAGACCCCAACACAAGATAGACATGGACCTGTGTGAGTGAGGCCAGAGGAGACCATGGAGATGTTCTGAGGGCTGGAGTCTCCCTGCTCTGAAGCCAGGCTGGGAGAGCTGGGGGTGCTCCCCTGGAGAGGAGAAGCTCCAGGGAGAGCTCAGAGCCCCTGGCAGGGCCTGAAGGGGCTC